TCAATTTGCTCAATGTTAGTATGATACTTGTGTTCAGAAAGATTTTGTATTAATGTATTATCTTCTCAACTGTTAAACATTTTTCGATAAGTTTCTCTCCTCCATTTCTCAAGAAAATTTTCTTTCGAATTTAATAAATCCGAAAAGCCTCATCACAAGCCTTTATATCCCTCTCATTCTAACACGCCAAATATGTTATTATTTCCGCGCTCCTGTACTTTTCACTTTATATGATTTGTGCCATGGAGACGGAATAATTCTGGCAAATGATTTTGTTGAAAAAAACGGATGACTCGAGCTTTACACATAATATGTGATCCTCAGTGCAATCCTAGCATGTTCAAGGAATTGCTGAAATAACTGTGGCAATTCTCCACGAGTGTAGCGGGGTGTTGGATACACGGAGGCCTCACAATCGTCCAACACTTACTACTCAATTGTTGGATGAGTGGGTATAGTACTGGGTTAGTACCCTGGCGGCCTAGGTTTGAATCCTTGAGAGATCATTCGGCGTGGAAATATAAAACATGCATATATAAGTATTACTTTATTCGCATAAGAAACCTGCAAATGTTGCAATAAACTTACCATCAAAAAGTTTCATCGAACATTAAACCAAATTGAGAATTGCTCAACCCGAACAAGAACTCACGATGACGATTCTATGTGGTCATGATGACTTACGAGTTGCTCTTTTACATATAATAAAATAGACGCGGTAATATCTTTCATAATTTATCTCTGACCTGCTGAAGAGAAATTGATTTAGTGCTTAATGAGATTCTCGAGTCATATCTCATTACGAGCTATTCAATTTGCGAGCCCCCCCCCCCCCCCTGTAGATATCAGGCAAACAGCCAAACGGTGATTACACACAGAAATCACAATAGCGTGATGCATCAAATGAACAAATCCACAAGGGCCATGACGAGGATTCGAACCTACGTCCGAGAGCATCCCTACAGCCAAACGGTGACTTACAGATTAGACTTATGTTGTCACAACGAACGGGGCCACGAGAACTGACAACCTTAGCTCTCAAGGTGGGAGGGAACGCGATGCGTGGCAGCAAGTCACGTTAACAAATGCCTGTCAGGCAATGTGGGGAAATATTCGCTTACATACATGATGAATAGTTCACATTCTTGTGAGTTTCAGTACTAGAATCTTTTCTTTTTAAAGGTTTGATGACTGTTGATGGTATTTTTGTTTTTATAGTGGCATGTGGTAACTCCCCATCTTGAGACTAATATTTTATACAAGTATGGATAACGTTAGTGTGGGTGGGATGGGTGGGTGGTGTTGCTGGGATGGGTGGGTGGTGTTGCTGGGATGGATGGGTGGTGTTGCTGGGATGGGTGGGTGCAGGTGTTGCTGGAATGGGTGGGTGGTGTTGCTGGGATGGGTGGGTGGTGTTGCTGGGATGGGTGGGTGGTGTGGCTGGGATGGGTGGGTGGTGTGGCTGGGATGGGTGGGTGGTGTTGCTGGGATGGGTGGGTGGTGTTGCTGGGATGGGTGGGTGGTGTGGCTGGGATGGGTGGGTGGTGTGGCTGGGATGGGTGGGTGGTGTTGCTGGGATGGGTGGGTGGTGTGGCTGGGATGGGTGGGTGGTATGGCTGGGATGGGTGGGTGGTGTTGCTGGGATGGGTGGGTGGTGTTGCTGGGATGGGTGGGTGGTGTGGCTGGGATGGGTGGGTGGTGTTGCTGGGATGGGTGGGTGGTGTGGCTGGGATGGGTGGGTGGTGTGGCTGGGATGGGTGGGTGGTGTTGCTGGGATGGGTGGGTGGTGTTGCTGGGATGGGTGGGTGGTGTGGCTGGGATGGGTGGGTAGTGTTGCTGGGATGGGTGGGTGGTGTTGCTGGGATGGGTGGGTAGTGTTGCTGGGATGGGTGGGTGGTGTTGCTGGGATGGGTGGGTGGTGTTGCTGGGATGGGTGGGTGGTGTTGCTGGGATGGGTGGGTGGTGTTGCTGGGATGGGTGGGTGGTGTTGCTGGGATGGGTGGGTGGTGTTTCTGGGATGGGTGGGTGGTGTTGCTGGGATGGGTGGGTGGTGTTACTGGGATGGGTGGGTGGTGTTGCTGGGATGGGTGGGTGGTGTGGCTGGGATGGGTGGGTGGTGTGGCTGGGATGGGTGGGTGGTGTTGCTGGGATGGGTGGGTGGTGTTGCTGGGATGGGTGGGTGGTGTTACTGGGATGGGTGGGTGGTGCTTAAATATGTACAGTAAGTTAATATATAACAATATTAATTTATATTTGAGAAAATTGCTATTTTAAATGAACAGCTTGTTTATTGTTGACCAGACCACACACTAGAAGGTGAAGGGACGACAACGTTTCAGTCCGTCCTGGACCATTCTCAAGTCAGAATGTTTAAACTGACGAATGCGTCTTTGGGGTCTACCGCTGGATGGAATGGACTTTTTAGTTTGAGGACGAGTTGCCGCGTACATACTTTGGTGTTTTTGTATCTTATTAAGAATGCTTACGCCGTGCTCATTTTGGCTTCTTTTTTTTTGTAAACAATGACATTTCTTTTAACTATATATGCGTGTAATATATTATGTATTTAATTGGAATGTGTCGATCATCAGTAATTTTTGGAGCAGCCTAGAATTTCTATTTATTACCAAAATAGTTTTCAGTTTCAAGTTAGGATTAATTCTCAAATACAATGAGTTAAACGTATATGTAAACATATTTCACATATTTCATGTAAGACTTTACTTGATTGTTAATGATGAGTATATGGTTGAAGAGAGGAACAGGTAGTTTGTATTTGTCAAGCCTTTACTCATTCTTGTGAAGTCTAGTCGTGTACACCGTCGCTTATTCTCGCGTGATAGTAACTATGAAAATAAATCAATATTTCACTACACTAGATATGTTTTTCACGAACATCTGTAATTCATGACCTATAGCATCCAGTTTGAATGACCGCAAGATGTTGTTCCCTTTGAAAATAACATGATGATGGTCGTCTGTAAATTAATAATTGGAGTACCGCTGATAGCGGCTTGGACAGAAGCCTACGAGTGAACTAGTCTTCTACTTTGCCTGGTAAGTTTTCCCAGCAGGCTAGTGGCTTTCCCCTTCAACACCACTTTTGAAAGCTTTACCTACTTGTTTTTCCCCAAAACCCGATCCGTCAATCATTTTACAACCAGGTTCCCAATTACTGAAAGATTAGCAAGGGTTAATTGTTAATGGACGGTATCCACTTGTTCCAGTGTCCTGAGCTGGAACCCGGGTCGATCTGGCTTGCAAGGTGAGCAGAGGATGTCACTAACTACAATATTGTGCTATTGTTAAGCAGGTAAATTTTTCTACAGCTTTGTGATTTTCTTACATTTGTGGGCTCACATGGTGTACTACAAAATGTGTGCAATATTTCATTATAATATTTAACATTTTGGAGAAGTAGGCGAGACTGAGTTTTCCATATTCTTAAACTGTCCTAATTATCTGGCTGTCTTAATTATCGCTGGTGTATCTGTCTTTAATTAGTGGCATAATGCAAGAGTTGCTGAACGTGTCGTCATTAGCCTATTCCGGCAATCGTATGATTGCCCGAATAAACATGATTGGTATTTAGTTCCGGGATAACTTTGACAATCCTGTGTTAGACCTTTCAGCCGGTGATATAAGAAACCTGTCCTCTTAAAAAGAACGTCGCTTTTGGCCGTTTGCCCGTATGGCCGAATATGGACGTAATTTGAAAAAAAAATTAATATAAATTTGGGATTTTTTTTTTTCAACAACAGTAAGTTAAGGGTCCTCTGATAGGTTAGGTGGGCAGGAAATTCTCATAAAGTTTGAAAATGGTATGAAAAACGTCAATGGAAAGAATCCTTTTCTAAGCTGGCCGAGTAAGACGGACGACTCAAACAGAAAACGGGACAGTACGTCACTTTTGTGAGTTGATTTCATTTCAAATTGCGTCCAAATTTGGCCATAGCGCGCATACGAGCCAAAAGTGACGTTATTTTAAAGAGGACGGGTTGTGATTACAGCAGTACAAGGGAGGGGAGGAAGGGTATCACAGAGATATCAATTATTTCTAATTATAAACATCGCAAATTAATATTATCGATATTATGCCAAAAGAATAACCGGCAAATTCCTTTTTTCGGTATACAGAAAACTCATCAGTTCAATATATATTTCTGAATTGAATTCCTCTGTAACAATCAATTTCCAAGAGGGAATTTCAACTAGTCATTCGATATTTTTATAACACATTAATTCAATTTGAATTCAGACCCCCAACTTTAAAAGAAAGACAAATATTTGAATTCAAACAAATCACAAATATATAGGAATATATTACAATTAACTAACGTTAAACATAGCTAGATTTTCAATTTAATATAGGTTATAATTCAATTTCTTTCTTTATTTTGCACCCCATACCCATCTCGTGGGCGGTGGTGTAAAGGATTACAGAGGCACATCATAGGTTCAGGAACTGAACCCTCTAGTTTTTTTTTTTTTTTTTTTTTTTTTTTGAGATATATACAAGAGTTGTTACATTCTTGTACAGCCACTAGTACGCGTAGCGTTTCGGGCAGGTCCCTGGAATACGATCCCCTGCCGCGAAGAATCGTTTTTTCATCCAAGTACACATTTTACTGTTGCGTTAAACAGAGGCTACAGTTAAGGAATTGCGCCCAGTAAATCCTCCCCGGCCAGGATACGAACCCATGACATAGCGCTCGCGGAACGCCAGGCGAGTGTCTTGTGAGTGTAGTTCGTTTAGCTAAGCAAATAACAATGTTTGACGCTAGTTACAAAATTATCAATGTTGTATACACATGTACACACCCTCATACATGCATGTACATATGTATAGTTATAGCTGAATAAATACCCGTTTTATCAATATCAGGGTTGAAACATATAGTTAGCCTTTATAAAAAAGAAAATGGGTTCAAGAAAACGGGACAAATAATGATTTGTTTTGGTTAAGAGCGCCTCTGGCGGCCAGTTGGCAAACTCTTCAGTGAAATGGAGAGTAGTGGTCTGACGAGCAGCTGATTGTTAAGTCAGTCTTTGCTTGTCATGTGTTCAGTGCACACCTCAGTCACTCAGTGCTAAAATGACCCGGACAGAATTATTTAGTCTTGTAGCCGTAGTAGCTGCTCTGTTATGGTCTTTTGGACTAGCAGAACAGGATTATGAAAGTTCAAAAGGCAAAGTGTTTCACAATCAGTTTGCTGTACACATACCCGATGGTGCTGAAGCAGCTGATGAGATAGCGGCAAAATATGGATTTACAAATATCGGCCAGGTAGGTAACGTTTGTCTTGTGCATCTCCCCAGGTGAAGGAGAGACCAGTTTTGTTTACCTTGGATGCCTCTGGGCAACGGTAAACTACACAAGTCCTCAGGAGTCCCAATGCAACTTTGTTTACTCAGGGATAACTTTCCCCCCTCACCGTAGTGAAATTTACCAAGCAGTGCCCCGCAGTGCCCAGTAAAATCGGTTTCCCCCACATGAAAACTGCTAATTGTAAGGAATTGTGTAGGCTAGAACATGTCTTATGGCTGGACGTCTGAAGAAATTCCTTGACGAAAGGCCAGGGGTCACTCCCTTGATTCTCAAGTGAGTCGATATTGCTAACGGCATGCTGATGTTCACTGGGGGATGTGAACATCAGCATGTACGTGTTCAAGGCGATCATATGCTTGTTACAAACTGGACCCATGACGTACCCCACCTGTTATGGCCCCATAACGTGCCCCACCTGTCGTGGCCCCATAACGTGCCCCACCTGTCGTGGCCCCATAACGTGCCCCACCTGTCGTGGCCCCATAACGTGCCCCACCTGTCGTGGCCCCATAACGTGCCCCACCTGTCGTGGCCCCATAACGTGCCCCACCTGTCGTGGCCCCATAACGTGCCCCACCTGTCGTGGCCCCATAACGTGCCCCACCTGTCGTGGCCCCATAACGTGCCCCACCTGTCGTGGCCCCATAACGTGCCTCACCTGTCGTGGCCCCATAACGTGCCCCACCTGTCGTGGCCCCATAACGTGCCCCACCTGTCGTGGCCCCATAACGTGCCCCACCTGTCGTGGCCCCATAACGTGCCCCACCTGTCGTGGCCCCATAACGTGCCCCACCTGTCGTGGCCCCATAACGTGCCCCACCTGTCGTGGCCCCATAACGTGCCCCACCTGTCGTGGCCCCATAACGTGCCCCACCTGTCGTGGCCCCATAACGTGCCCCACCTGTCGTGGCCCCATAACGTGCCCCACCTGTCGTGGCCCCATAACGTGCCCCACCTGTCGTGGCCCCATAACGTGCCCCACCTGTCGTGGCCCCATAACGTGCCCCACCTGTCTTGGCCCCATAACGTGCCCCATCTGTCGTGGCCCCATAACGTGCCCCACCTGTCGTGGCCCCATGTCATATCCAGCTGTCGTGGCCCCATGTCATATCCAGCTGTCGTGGCCCCATGTCATATCCAGCTGTCGTGGCCCCATGTCATATCCAGCTGTCGTGGCCCCATGTCATATCCAGCTGTCGTGGCCCCAGGACATATCCAGCTGTCGTGGCCCCATGTCATATCCAGCTGTCGTGGCCCCATGTCATATCCAGCTGTCGTGGCCCCAGGACATATCCAGCTGTCGTGGCCCCAGGACATATCCAGCTGTCGTGGCCCCAGGACATATCCAGCTGTCGTGGCCCCAGGACATATCCAGCTGTCGTGGCCCCAGGACATATCCAGCTGTCGTGGCCCCAGGACATATCCAGCTGTCGTGGCCCCAGGACATATCCAGCTGTCGTGGCCCCAGGACATATCCAGCTGTCGTGGCCCCAGGACATATCCAGCTGTCGTGGCCCCAGGACATATCCAGCTGTCGTGGCCCCAGGACATATCCAGCTGTCGTGGCCCCAGGACATATCCAGCTGTCGTGGCCCCATGTCATATCCAGCTGTCGTGGCCCCAGGACATATCCAGCTGTCGTGGCCCCAGGACATATCCAGCTGTCGTGGCCCCAGGACATATCCAGCTGTCGTGGCCCCATGTCATATCCAGCTGTCGTGGCCCCATGTCATATCCAGCTGTAGTGGCCCCATGTCATATCCAGCTGTCGTGGCCCCATGTCATATCCAGCTGTCGTGGCCCCAGGACATATCCAGCTGTCGTGGCCCCATGTCATATCCAGCTGTCGTGGCCCCATGTCATATCCAGCTGCCGTGGCCCCATGTCATATCCAGCTGTCGTGGCCCCATGTCATATCCAGCTGTAGTGGCCCCATGTCATATCCAGCTGTCGTGGCCCCATGTCATATCCAGCTGTCGTGGCCCCATGTCATATCCAGCTGTAGTGGCCCAATGTCATATCCAGCTGTCGTGGCCCCATGACGTGCTTGCTTATGATTTGTATGACATGCCCACTTATCATGATCTCCGTGACATGCTCACGCGTCATGGCCTCCATGACATGACATGTAGAGCTATCATGGCCTTCGTGACATGCCACCTATTATGGCGCCCCCCCCCATGACATACATACCGTCATTCTCATAATCCATCCTATCAAGAAAATGATAGGATGGATTATGAGAACGTTCAAATCCAGGCATCCCACCACAATGTTAATACTATTTAAATCGGATGTTTCCCAACCTTGAATACTGCTCGGTACTCGCTTCCTCATTCAGAGCGGGAGAGATTTCTGAAATATGTATGTAATTTAGAGCAAATATACCGCGATGCATTGACGCGATAAAATACCTAAATTATTGGGACCGTCTCTACGCTCTCTAAATGTATTATCT